CGTGGCTGGCGCCTTAGCCGGTTGAGCTATAGGCGCCGAGCCACATCCTTGGGTATTCAAAGGGTGGCTGCCCATGGCTTTCCCAGGCTGACTCCCACTCCCGAAGCCCCCTCCACCCACCGCCAGGCCCCACCTTCTGTGCTTTGTGCAGCTCCTCCTTCAGGAACTCGGAGCCCTTCTCGCGGATCTCCATGGAAGAGCTGCGCAGGCGTGACACGTCCAGCGGGGCGGTGGCAGGGCCCTCCTTAACTTGGACCTCCTCTCCTGCACAGGCCTCCACCAGGGCTCCTGGGGACTCCCTGTGCCCTTTGCAGGGGGCTATGTTCTTCCAGGGGGCCGGGACAGTGGAGCAGGGTGGCGGGAGGCCCTGGTCCGGCTGGGGTGGGCTAGAGACAAATAAGGGCATCAGCTGGCACAGGGTGGGGTCCTGACATCTGGAGAGCTGACCCCAGGCAATGCACCTGCCACTGGGCCCTTAGTCTCTCCATCTGAAAACTGGGACACTGCTAGCTATCACCAGCGTGTCACAAGGACAAATAACCAAGCACAAGGTCTCTTGGGGGCAAGGACAAGGCTCATTCCTCTGTCAACCAGTCCCTTCCACCCAGAACCTAGAGCTGTGTTTGGCACATAGTGGGTGGTTGGCACACAGTAGGTGTTCAGCACACAGCAGATGGTCAACACACAGCTCAGTTCTGTCTGTAAATGACTGCAAATGCACCGGGGCGGGATAATAGGAACGGATTCCAATGACCCTACCTCACTCCATATCAGTGAGGGAATGTGTGTAACTTTGGCTCCCAGGTGGCACTTAAGCTGCCTTCATTGACATGGTTAATGCAAATTCTGCTCCTTTGGGGTGGACCAGAGAGGAAGGACCATGGCAAGCAGGGCTGAGGCAGGAAGATGCTACAAATAGCCTGGGCAAGGCGGGCCTGCTTCCTGCCCACTCCGGGCTCTGTGGGGAACAGCTCTAGCTCTCCCAGGCCTACCTGGTGACTTCAAGCAGATACCCACTTCCCCAGGCCTGGGGACCCACCCTCCCTGACATAGAAGACCCTGGAAGCAGTGTAGGACCTTTGCTCCCACCCCTCTGCCAGCCACATTCCCCCTTGGAAGTGGACCCAGGAGAGGGAAGGGGGGAGGGTTCAGCCCGTGGTGATTTGTGCCAAGACAGCACCTCTGGACTCGCTCACTCAGCAAAAGCTGGAGGCTCCTGAGCCAGCAGCTTCTCAGCCACAGCGGCTGGACTGGGGGGTGTGGGGACCGGGCCCTGATATCAGTGAGGGAAGTGGGGGGAGGGGGCCCAGAGAGGCCTCCACAGGATGGGGGAAAACAAAGCTAAGGAGATTGCACAGGACGGAGGAAGACAAGGCCAAAGAGATCATGGGACTCAGGATAGCAGTGGGGAGTAGGGGGGGCAGGCAGAGGCAAGTCTGTGGACTGGGACCACTCCCTGTCCCCAGGACTTCAGAAAGGTCACCAAGCAGAGCCCTAGCTTGTTTCTCCCTTGGTAACACAAAGGAACAGCACCCAGAGACCCCCTCAGGGAGCCTACTCCTAACCCTTCACATGGCTCTGTCCAGTGACCTAGCCCAGTCTGTCCTCTGTCCTGGACCTGGCCCAGAATGTGGCCTCAGACTCCCCAGGATGGTCCTGCCTGAAAGAGACTGGGGCCTTGCTGATTAAGGGGGGACACACATCCCTCCCTCCATCGGCAGGTCTATGTGGACAGGGATCTCCCTTAATGCCCTTGTTGGGGCAGGGCTCTTGTTGGCAAGGGGTTCCTAAGGCTTGAGGGGCTGTGGCAGCCCCTTCTCTCCCTCAGAAGTGCTATGGCAGGTCTGCCACAGGCTGGGGTCTGCAGCTAAAGGACTCACACGGTTCCAGACTCTACACAGAGTGCTCCAGCCACATCATCTCATCTCCAACTCAGTCCAAAGCGCTTGTGATATTGTCCCCATTCTACAGATGAGGGGACGAAAGTTAGAGAGAGAAGAGACTCACCAGGGTCACGCAGTTGGTCATTGGCAGTGGGCTGGGTGCCGGGTCTTCAGCCCAGGCCCAGTGCCTCCCAGCCACAGGGGGAAGGTGGTGGTGTGGGAGTGAGTATTAGAATTAGCTCAATGGCCTTGTGCTCAGGGCTGCTTGGCCCAGAGGCTTGAAGGCTCCCCTTTGGCTGCAGCAGGGAAATGACCCAATTCTAGCCTAGACTGGCTTCTCAGACTCTGCTCAGGCCCAGAAACTACTTTTCCAGGAGGAAGGATTTGGGCTGGGGGTGCTATGGCCTAGAGAGTGGGCTAGCGTTGGGCCAGCTGGGGCTCATACCAGGCTCTGACCTGGGTTACATAAGTCCACATTACTAAAATCTTCTACATCTCCTTTCCTGCCTGTAGGGTTAAAATCCTGTAGGAGGTTCTCTAAGAATCAAAAAGAAGTCACTGGATAAAGTGTTCAATCCATAACCACATTTGTCTGAGACACCTATATGCCTGGCCAAGCTCTGGGTCCTGCAGCCCCATTTCCTCAGGTGGGACAGATATGACCATAGTTACTTGGGCTTGGCTGGGCACAGCAGATCCCATCATGGGAAGTACCCACTGTGATAGAATGAGCATGAACTACAGGTTTAAGGCAGGGGGGGACCCAGAGGCCAGCAGAGGACATAGGGCAGTATCCCAGGTCTCCAACACCCAGCCTTAATGCCTCTCCCATGCTTAGGACAACCCCTGCAATACCTATGCTCCAAACTGCCAACCCCTTCCCCCCGGCCCATGGACTTTATCCACCATTGTGGTTGGAGCTTCTGGCCACAGTGAAAGACTCTAACTCTTCTGCTTGTCCCAAGGGCATGGGCTAGAGGTATGGCTGGACAGTCCCTACCATTTTTCCAACAAGTGCTCACTTCAGCCCACTGCTGGGGGGTGAGGCCCAATTCTGTAGCCAGAGGAAATGGTGGTCCAGAAGGCCTGAGAAACAGTCTCCATGACCTCCTTCTCACCCTGCCCCTCAGTGGAAAAGCCCAAAGCCAAGTCCTAATGGCAGGAAGTGTGGGAACAGCAGGACCACCCAGTAGCCACCAACTCCCCAATGCCTGGGCCACGAGTGGCAGGAGCAGAAGGGGAAGAAGCCCCCTCCCCACCTCACACTTGTATGTTTCTGCCCTGTACACTTCCAGGCTCTGATGCTGTCTCCTGAGACTCAGAAATTTCAGAGGAATGAAGAACCCTAGGCCTCTTGGGAACAGCCCAAACCAGAACTTCAGTGTCCCAGACTAGAAGCCCAAAACCCTGAGTGTGAACACCTGAGGTGGTGGGGAATCTGTCATCAGACGAGCCAGACTAGGTCTCAAGTTCTCCTGCCTAACATCTCTCCCTTCCTCTAGCCAGAACCATGCTCTCTCCTCAAACCTCTATATGCCCCCATGCCCTGTAGAAATAGCATCCAGCAGCTGGCATAAGCTACAGATGCCCCTGGGAAGAGGCTTGCTGAGGGTGGGAGAAGCAAGGTCAAGGTCAGAGGTAGAGGGAGCAGACAACATCCCCATCCTGAAGCCAAGCCAGCCCCGACTGCGTAGAGCCCCGGGCAGTTCATGTAGGAAAGACCCCACTGGGTCACTTCCCCAGGAAACACACGACAGGGGGAAATGCACTAACCACTGTCCTCATCCCAGCAGGCCAGCAGGGCTCCTGTCCCTATCCACAAAGTCCTCAGTCACTCATTAAGTCCTCCTGGGATAGGAGGAACTAGCTAGAGGCCATTCTTAGGGCCAGAAGTGTGCAAATGCGGTCCTGAGTGGCTCTTTGAGGGTTCTAGACCCACCCGCCCACGATTAATGCCCAGGATGACCGTGTTTAGTCATCTCCCGGAGTTAAAGACCCGTGTGTTAGTGGGCACAATAGGGTCATTAAACAAGCAGGGAGGGGGAGAGTGAGGGAAGCTCTGAAGCTGGGAGTAGTCGGGAGGGTACACTGCCAGGGCCCCAGGCCCAAGCTCTAGGGGGCAGTGTCATGGCATAGTCAGACTCACAGACTGTCCAGCAAGGCCCTGAGGACACTGAAGCTGGCAGCCATGTGGCTTATATCCAGAGATTAAGGGGGTCCCTGGAGAGGTCTGTGTGTTGGCTCTAGGACCAGCCTGCAAGCCTAGCAAGGCTCAGCCTATAGGTAGGGGCCAAGGCTTTGGCCTCAAACCCACAAGCACAGGCAGCACCTGTGGCTCAGTGGGTAGGGTGCCGGCCCCATATACGGAGGGTGGCAGGTTCGAACCTGGCCCTAGAAAAACTGTAAAAAAAATAGCTGGGTATTGTGGCGGGCACCTATAGTCCCAGCTACTCAGGAGGCTGAGGCAAGAGAATTGCCTAAGCCCAGGAGTTGGAGGTTTCTGTGAGTTGTAACGCAGTGGCACTCTGAGGGCAATAAAGTGAGATTCTGTCTCAAAAAACAAACAAACAAACAAAACCCACAAGCACATTGGGTTCCCAAGGTCCTGGCCATGTCCACATCAGCCCAACACTTGTAGTATCCACAAGCATCACTGCTGGCAGGCTCATGAAGATCCTTCTAGGAGATACTCCCCAGCCCAAAACGAGGAACCCAAGGTTCAGAGAGGGATGGTGACTGGCTAGAACACACAGCAACGAAGTGGCAGGATGAGAAGAAACCCAGAGAGCAGGCACAGAGTGGCATGTGACCTCTGGCACAGAGGAAAAGAGATGAATGAAGGTTTCAGAGAAGCAAGGCAAGACAACAGACAAAGTTTGAGGAAGTTTAAGACAGTGGCAGTGGTGGTGGTGCTGCTGCTAGAGGTGACACCCAGCACTGCTATCCAAGCCAGGCAGAACCAGGGCTAGCAGGGAACCCTCAGAGGGGACAGACACCGGAGGGAGAATCATGGGAGCACCAGCTGATGATGAAGGGCAGAAAAAAGTAATTACAGTAATGAACTAATTAAGCTAATTAAAAACCAAAGGAAAGGCGAATAAGGAAAATAGCGGTACTCATGACAGAATGAGGAACTGGGAGTGGGTCTTTCAGGGACGGGAAAGAGGGGTGGCTGAGGCGTTTGGGAAGTGGCATGTCCTGTAGGCAGGATGAAGTGACAGCTGTTGGGAGGCACCAGCTGGTGGTGGTGGGGGGGAAGCAGCCACAGCCTGGCCCAGGGGCTTAGGGGACAAGGCCCAGAGAGCCAGTCAGAAGAGCGTCACTTACCAGAAGTACAAAATGCCTAAGATGGGGGTGGGGGTGAGAGTTAGGGGGCAGTGGGGTGGGGCTGTCTTGAGTCTCGCTGAGGTTAGGGCTAGAGTTGGGCCACATTCCAAGCTCTAGGCCAGGAGGGGACAAAGGGACAGATGGGAGACAGAGTGGGCCTAGAACACTTTGGGAAGGGAAGCGGGTGTAGGGGTGGGGCAGCAGGTCCTGGTAGATCTGCAGGAGAGTGAGGAGGTCAGGAGCAGCCTCAGGGTGGGACACAGGTGGGCCAGGCCAGCCCTTCCTGCCTGGAGCCCAATCTTTGAAGAGAATCTAGCCCTGTCTCTCCCCAGGGAACAGCACAAAGATTGGGAGGGTGGGGGATCTCACTCCTTAGCTGGTACACTACCAGCCTAATACCTGCCTGCGGCATCCTTGCACATTCAGTCAAGAAGAATTGACTGGGCAGCACCTGTGGCTCTGTTAGTAGGGCGTCGGCCCCACATAGCGAGGGTGGCAGGTTCAAACCCAGCCCTGGCCAAATTGCAACAAAATAATAGCTGGGCGTTGTGGCAGGTGCCTGTAGTCCCAGCTGCTCAGGAGGCTGAGGCAAGAGAATCACCTAAGCTCAGGAGCTGGAGGTTGCTGTGAGCTGTGATGCCACAGCACTCTACTGAGGGCAACAAAGTGAGACTCTGTCTCTAAAAAAAAAAAAGAATTGACCTCAGACATCCAACATGTATAGTGAGCTCCTATCGTGAGCCAGGCACCGCACTTTCTCTGATCTATCCAGTCTGTAAGACAAGGTGGCTTCTGGCAGTAGTATCACCATCACCAAGTCCCCTTCATATATTCCATTTTGTTTTGCACCTCCCTCTCCCCACCTCACTTTCCAAGGCCTAGTGGACACAAATCCTGTGCAAATTCCCTGTGACTCTGCTAATAAAAAAAAAAATCCTGTGTAAAGGCTGGGAGCGTCTAGGACAAGCAAGGCACTAATAACGGTTTGTGTTCCACACATAAATGTGGTGATTAAGGAACAGCAGGAAAGATCTCTTTACCTGTGGAGGGGATAGGGCAGGTACATCATGGAGCGCTTCCAGGTGGCAGCAACCTTTTCCCAATGAGAAGGACTACCTGCCTGTCTCTGGAGGCCTCAGGCCATATTTCAGACTTTGTAGGCAGAAGCTCACAGATTCATACCTCTTAGGGTAGCCAAGGCCCAGAGCAGTTAAATGACTTACTCCAGATCACACAGCCAAAAAGTCGGTCAATGGCACCTGCAGCCCTGGAGCACCCAATATCCTGTCTGCTGCAAAGACACAGTGCCCAATCCTTGGAGGCTAGGGTGGTCTCATGTCATTCCTGGGCAGGCCATCTGGTCTTCCCTAGAGATGGGTATGCTTAGCCCCATCAGTCAGGAAGGGAAACTGAGACCAAGGGGCTGCACCAATGTCACATGGGAACCCAAACTCTGTCTGGCCTCTGCTGACCAAGTTCCAAGTGCCCAGCACTGTATTAGATGCAGAAGTACCCACAATGCCATCCTCACCCCATCCCCTTGGAGCAGGATTGGCACCCAAAACTACAGACATGTGAAACTTGGGGATGGAGAGGGGAGCAACCCAGTTTGGAGTATGGGGCGGGGGACTTAAATTCAGACCAGAGCTGCCTCTGGCTTTAGTGCTCAGGGCCCATGCTCAGGAGTCCTAAGAAAAGAGGGTCCACCGGATCCTCTGCAAAGTTCAACCACTGCTGCCCAACCCAGGGGAGAGCAGCCTGGGACCAGGGCTAAGGCCAGGGCCAGGGCCAGCATCTGTCTCATAACAAAGCACAACCACCCAAGAGGGAGATCTCAGTTCAATTTACAGGTGAGAAAACCAAGCCCCAGAAATATCAATGGGCTAGCTGGGGTCATCGACTCCTAATCCTAGACTCCTCCTAGTCTCCAAGTACATACCTGACCAGAGCTGTCACAAGCACAAGCAGCTTGCTCAAAGTTATCCCTCCTAACTGCTGCTGGGATCTGGGTGAGCTAATACCTAGGACACCAGGCTCCCCAGTGGGTACTGGCAGCTTGGCCCCTAGTCCCTAAATCCCTGACTCCACATCCAAAGGAGAAGTTCATAAAAATGCAATACACAGGGTAACCCCACAGATGCCCAGCTCCTCACTGCCTCTCATCCTTTCCATACGCATTTCTGAAGTACCTACTGTATGCTTGGCATTCAGCTCGGCCTGGGGGATCCCAAGATACACATGGGAAGTGAGCCATACTGACAGCTATATAGGGTCAGCTTGGCAGCCAGGCTCATCTAGAAGGGTTGTGGGCATATGGCAGGGAGGCTGGACTGGGGGCCTTGCCCAGGACCCTGAATTGCTTTGACTCTTTCCTTGAAGTGAGCATCCATCCACTGGTGGCTCCCAGCATGGCCTGGCCCTGGTCTGGATGCCTCCAGGGAAGGACATTCTTTGGGTTGGGATCACTCCCACCCCACAAACCACTTATTCACCTAGAGGCCCAGAGAAGGAAGGCCAAACTCTCAAGGTCACACAGCAACTCAGTGGCTGTGTTTTGGCTCTGTCCACCGAACACAAGCGGTCACAAGCTTCCTGCAGACCAGGCTACTCCTCAAACACATTTAATATCACCCCCACCCCAGGATTGTCCCAACCTCTCCAGAAAGTACAAACCGACCACAGCCACTTTCTCCCTAAGCCCAGCCTCCTTCTCCGGGGCATAAGGCCAACAAATACATGATCCATTTCCACTTTCTCTCTTTAAGAGTCTCAAGCCACACCATACCTCACCGCTCACAGAAGCCCACCCCCCAGAGCCCCTGGTGGGAGTGAAACCTCACTCTAACCCTAGCATCTGGGCTTTAGCTTTGCTAGGTGCTAGGAGGTAAGATGCATCCAGTCTGCTCCCCAGAGGGGCTTCCCTCGCTCCTCAGCTGTGGCTGGGAAACAGTTGGGTCCTGGGACTACCCATCTGGCCCAGTTCTTTACAGGAATACCCCCACATGCACTCTGGCCACATTTCCTCCAGGACCTGGTCCTTCCAGTCTATGGGGAAGAGGACACATCTAAATCCCCGACTCAACATCACTAAAAGAGCACAACCTTTCTGCACATACAGGGCATAGGACTGGCCCGCATCAGACTGGCCAAGAACTGGAATTACCTCTGAAAACCAATGGTCTGAGCAGATTCCGGTACTGGGGCCCCAAATCCAGGACCCAGAGTCTGTGCTAACCCCCTTCCAGGATGCAGAGAGGTCCCACCCACACCCCAGAGTCCCCCACAAGGAGGTTCTGCCAACAACTTGCAAGCGACCTTGGCAGAGACCCAGCTCCCTTTCCCAGTTGTGCTTGCTTTCCAAAACTTCATCCAGCTGGAGTGGGGGTCCCCTCCTCCAGACGCGTGCCCCAGATTTAGACTGTAGTACTCCCCCGCCCCCAAACACACTCCTCTCTTGTGCTACTGATGAGCTAGGAGCTGGCGCTGTCACAGCGGGGAGGTCGGCCGCTGCCTTCACACTCCCGGCCACGGGACAGACCCGTCGTCCGCCCCCCGGCCCCCGCCCCGACTGTCCTTCCACGTCTCCAGCTAGCCTGCGCACTCAGCTGCACGCAGGGGTGGGTTCGGACCCGGCGGGGATCCCCATGCTCCCGCCTCGGGAGGCAGCGCGGCCCAAACCCGGCGCGGAGCCGTGAGCGCGTGCGGACCTACCCGCTCCACATCCCGTCGCCTCGGGGCGCCCGGGCGTCGGTTCCCCGCGCCGCCGCCGCGTCCTCCTCGCGCTGGCCCGCGCCGCGTCCTCCTCTGTCTCCGACTCCGCCCCAGGCCGGCGGGCTGCCCTGCTGCCTGTCAGTCCTGCCAGCCGTCCGTCTGTCAGTCTGTGCCGCTCGGGCTAGCCGGCCCCCAGCCCAGCGCCGACCCGGCCTTTGGCGGGTCACGTGGCCGAGGGGCGGCCCGAGGACACGTGCCCAGCCCCGCCCCTCTGCCGGCCGCGCGGGGACAGTGAGACCGCGGAGTAGGGGGGGGGAACCCGATCTTCAGCATCCTGCAGCCAGCACGGCTGTCAGACTCTCCCTCCAGTCACCCACTGCCTCACCCATCCTGGGCCACTCCTGCTCAAGAACCTACAATGGCTCCCGGGCCCTCAGCTCTCTAATTCTCACACAGATTGTCACCCAAGCCAACTGACACCCTCCCATCCTCTCACCTGACCCTCAGGCCATGTGTTCCTTCCCGAGGCTCTGGGCTTTGTGCCTACCCCTGGACAACGTCCTGCCTGCTGGGGGTGGGGGATGGGAGCAGACCCCAAACAAGTTTTCTGAGTCCTGCTTGCTGAGTCTTTGCTGAGTCCTGCAGCTTATCCCCAGGAAGTAGCCACCTTTGGATCAATTCTCTGCACTCAGTCTCCTGCTTGTGAACACACTCTGCCCAACCCTTGCCTTCACCCACTATATCTTTGCTCTGGAGAATACATCCTACCCCCAACGCATACTCACACATCTGTCTGGTCCCATGTCCTCTGTAAAACCTTTCCTTGAATCCTAGACTTCTAGTCTACCTGTCTCTCAGTCCCTCTGTCCCACCTATCGTCAGCATTGACCTGAGCCTGGGTCCAAGGAACACATAACCCTCTTCCCTCCAGGGCCCATGGCTCCTTCTGTGTGTCTGCAGGACTGGGGTATGATATTTCCTCTTCCAGATGCCACTAGAACTCAGCACTACTCTTCTGGACTCATCAGTTCTGGTGCCCCAGGCCTGAGTTTGTCAGATCTTCAGGTGGGGACACACTTCATTCCTTCACTCACTCATTCTTTCATTAAGCTATCCCATCTGAGCACAAACTTTGGGCCATGCAAAGGCTGTTGACCCAAAGGGAAAGTGCACAGAAAAGCTCTGCCCTCCTGGTGCCCAAGCATGGTGGATAGAGAATGGGGCACATACTCTCAAGGACCTTCACTTCCAGAGCCTCTGTCTGCCTACGGCACATCATGCCAAAATAGAATGAGGTGCTGCTTTTCCCAGGTGGGCACAATTCACACCAAAGTATAGGACTTGGTGAGTGAAGGCCAGGCTGGGTTTTATGCCTTGTTATCTCCTCTGTGCATTGAAAATCCTGAATAGCCCTCCATGGCATCCCTTTCAACTTTCCAGAATCATTCAGCCTAGGCCTCCCCTGTCCATGACTAAGGCCTCCAGAGGGTGGGAACCAGCTCCTTCTTAGAGCTGTGTTCCTCCACCCACCTCAGCCCAGCTCAGGGTCTAGCCCACCCAAAGCAGATGTCAACATACTATGTTCATTGACTTGAATTATTTACCAAGCAAATCTTCAGTAGTTGCTGTCTTCCTGCCTTTTGTTTGGTTCACCATTTAGGGGAAGGAAAAGATGACAAAATAGGAGCCATGGACAGGGCCTTTGCCCTCTAAGTCTTCACAAGCCCAGACAGGAGATAAGTTGTAGTAACCCAGACAAGTGGGAGATAAAGGGTGGAGTGCGTGTCAGAGCAGGGCTGTGGTCCCAGAGGAAGAATCCTCCGCCTAGGAAGGCTGGTAGACTGGGGAGGCCCTGGAGTGAGGCTTCAAGGAAAGTGTGTCATCCTGTCATCCATGTGTCAAGATACCATGGCCTCCCAGGCCTCATTGCCTCCTTCCAGAAGCACAGCCAACCTTGCTCCATAGCTGAAAAGGATGCCTAGTATCACACAGCCAGGGACAGTAGGGCTGAGTCCCCATACACTAGTTTTCCAAAAAGACTGCCCAGAAAGCAGAGGGCTTACTGGAAGCTGCAGCTGTGTGCAGTTGTGTTACTGAGTACCTACTAGGTGCCCGGCCCAGCAAGTGGGGAGAAAACAGATTCCTCTGCCCACAAGCCACTGCCCTCCCCAACCTTCCCTTTCTCTGTCCCCTCCTGCCATCCTCTCCCCAACCTGGAATCCTGGACCACAGACCCTTGGCAGATGTGGAACTGAAGACAGTGTCAGCCTGGATGACCCAGGCTCTGACTCTGGACTTAAGTCTGTCTCCAGCTAACTGTTGATCCAGGATGAGTGTCTTGCCCTCTCTGAGCTTTGGTCTCCACCTCTGTACAACCACCAAGTTGGACAAAACAATTAGAGCCACCTCGTGGTATTAAACTTGTAGGAGGCTCTGGAAATTCCTCTTAGTTCCATGCCAGTCCCTGTCCAGAGATTGACTTCTCATACCCTGTTTCCAACCCTGTGTCCCTGCAGAGTGGCAAGATTGCCCCTCCCCTCAATGCCCCAAATCCCTGGCTCACCTGTCTGTGCCCCAGGGTTCCTTCCCCAAGTTCCTCTCAAGTGCAGGGCACAGGCCTGATGGAGCATAGTGGACAGTCCCTGAGCTCATGGCCAGGAACACTGGGCATGTCCCTCGGGCAGGGCACTTGGTAGGCTTCTCAGAGGGATCCATGCTTGGGGGACCAGTCCGATGAGGGGCCCTCTGGAGACTGCCAGGGGGGAAGATAGTAGGAGCCTTTCCCCACCCCCAGGCTAAGCTAACCTTTGCTATCTCCCAGGAGCAGCTGCTATGAGGGAGGCACCTCCCAGACAGGCCTCTATCCCCTTAAACCCCGTAATTATTAACTCCTATGGCTCATCGGGCAACAGAAGACACAGAGGCCCTCTTTCCTGGGCTCTGGGCCAAGGAAGGTGAGGTATCTCAGGGGAGGTGGGAGACCTGAGGCCCCAGGCTTCACCCAGGCCCATGGGGCTGCTTGTCCCCTCCCTACCAGACCGGTGCACTGGAGAGAGCCTGTCCAGCCCCACCCTCTCGTAGCTGGCTGTGTGGCCTCAGACAGGCTGTTCCCCTGACTACTCTAGACCTTAAAACTTTTAACCACTACCACCAAAGGACAACTCAGTGTGGCAGTTAGGAATATAAGCCCAGAGTCAGACAGGCTGGATTCAACCCCACTTTCAGACTGTGAACCTTTGGGCATGTTAGCCTCTCTGTACCTCTGTTTCTCCCACTGTAAAATGGATTCCATAGTAGCCACCTAGACATGCCCTGAACCACCCCTCTTCTTTCCATCCACTATCCCTCTTTCTGCAACCTCTACCCCATCCCACTCCTGCTGATAAATCTCCCTTTTGCTTCCACCCTGTCCTCTAGGAAGCCTCCCCTGTGGGTTGCTTTCTTCCTCTGCAGGCACCAGGCTGGAGCCCTTAAACAATGAGTCATGACACATGCCCCATGGAACTGTCAGACATTCCCACAAGAACTGAGACTGGCCTGCCCTCATCATCAAACCCTTCTCGGCGCCTCCTTGCCTGGCACGTGGTCAGCCTCAGTCCATCCCAGGCCACCCTGTCTCATATGGCCTGAATTCTAATCCTAGTTCTGTGATTTCTCCTGGCTGTGTGACCTTGGGCAAGTGAATTAACTGCTCTGGAACTCAGTTTCCTCATCTATTAAGGGGAAGAGTTCTTCCTGTGAAGTATGACTATCAGAGAAAATAACCTTTGTGAAGAGTCTGCCACGGTGTAGACTGAGAGTTTCCTATTGCCTTCTCCCTCAACTTCCCTCTTCTTTCCTGTCAACCTCTGAGTCCCTGCCGCAGAAAAGCTGCCAGTTCCTCACACCCCGCCCAGCCCAGTGGACCGGATAACAATATCTCCCACTCAGCTTTGAGCTTCGAAGCTCTCAGCCTAATGCAAACCAGATGTTGGCCTCCCTCTCCTGGCAATGAATTTTCCATGGCCAGCTCCCACCCCCTTCCTGTTTTTACTCCTCTCTGACCCCCTTGCTGAATTCTCCTGTGCCCCCACCTTCCTCTGCCAGGCAACCTCTAGGCCCACCTGGAAACAATTAATGGAAAACAGGATGTGCAAAGAGGGGGGTCTCCTCATCACCCCAACGTGGCAGGAGGAGAAGGAGCTCAACCTGGAGGGTGGCAAACTGTGTGAGCGTTGGTCCCTTTCTGCCAAGCCCCAGCCAGCCCCCTCAGGGGGAAACTGAGTCAGAGTTATTGGGGACCATATAGAGAGATGTGTTACTTTTTGGATATTTGGACTGGATAAAGAGTTGTGAGGACCTTGTCCTTGGCTGTGACTTCTTAGAAAAATCGGAGCCAGAATAAGCCAGATCAGAGCTCTCCTCTTGAGCGTAAGGAAACCGAGGCTTGGAGACACATCTGAGAGGCAGCCAGGTCTGGGTCAGCTTTCAGTAAGGGCTGCAGCCTGAAGTCACCTCCCTTGCTTGCTATCTCAGTGTCATTCCTGCCTGCCCTCCCCTTGCCACAGAGCCTAGTCACAAGGGGAGATTCACAAGGCCACCACCTTCAGCCACAGGCTGGCTACACACACCTGGCTGGCCAACCTCAGAGGTAGTTGGTCTTCCCCAGCAGGGGCCTGGCTCTCTGCAGGGGACCTTGAGTAGGCCCTAGGAAGGTTGTGTGTGATGGGTGGGTGGATGGGGTCTTCCTTTGTCCCCTCAATCCTTTGAACCCCTTCAAGGTAGCCAGGGCTGGCCCTCAGAGTGAGGACTCCCCCATCTCCATGAAAACAGCCCAAGGGCTCCTGAAAGCAGGCTTTGGCCACCCCTCCCTCCTCCAGCTGCTCAGAGTGTTTGGACAACTGGATGGAATGTTTTGAAGCCAGAGTCCTCCCTGGTTCCCTGAGCTCAGATTTCAGGAGGGAGTGAGAAGAGGATGCTGGAGTTGGCTCCAGGGAGAGGGAAAGAGACAGGAAAGAGACATGAGAGGTCAAGCTGGGCCTGAAGGCTCCCTGCCATTCTCCAGAATTGACCTAGACCTGGCCCAGGCCCCTCGAGGAAGGGCAGGACAGAGGGTGTGGAGACAGTGCAGTGGTGTCAGAGATATGGTCAGGCCAACCTGGTGAAATCAGGTCCTG